AATATATTGGTTTTAAATTTCTTTAGGATTAATATGAAACTCTTTTATTTGAAAAAAAAAAAAACATTGTATACTCTTTCATTTTCTCCGTTATGTCAATTGAAAAATATTTATTGTTGTATCAAAATTTTTAAAATTATCATATTAGGTAATATTTGTTCAAAAAAATGAAATTCATCGAATTAATTATCATTGTTATATTTAATATAAAAATATTATTATAAATTATAATTTAACTAAACTTAAAAGTGATTTAAAGGTATTCATCAACAAAATTCATTTGATAAATCTTTATCTAATTATGCATTTAGTATTTCAATTATTTTAAATTTTGATTTTTCATAATTTTGAGTTGGATTTTAGACCTAAGATCAACGGGCAATTAGGTTGAATCAAGTTTTAACATTTACTTCTATTCATAGTGCATTTAATTATTTATTTATACAATTGAATAAATTTAACTCAATAATTAGTACATATTTCTCTTTATTTAAAAAGCAAAATTCAAATCATCCTAAACCAAATAAAAAACAGTATACTCAATTATTTATAATTACAATTTCATTTTAGAAATACTTTTAAAATTAATTAACTAATTTAACCACACACAAAAATAAAAATAAGACATTGAAGATTAAAGGAAAATAATTAAATAAAAAAATTTTAAATTGTTATGGAAGATGAATAAGAAATATTATATTTTGATTAGGTTACTATTTCAATTTGGATTTTAGTTATGCTCAATTATTTTGGATTTTAAATAGCTATTAAGTTATTGACTTTTAAAATCAATTGAAATCAAGTTAAGTTAATTCATTTTTATAATTATGTATATTATATTATTTTTTATTAAATTAAAATTTAAAATGGGTAAAATTTTTATTTATACTCAATTTAAGTTTTGAATTGTTTCAAGTTTAAATTGATTAATCCATATTAGTTTAGCTATACTTTTATGACATTAATATAAAATTTCAAAATAAAATGAGAACACAACACAATGAAAATTTAAGTGCAAAATATAGAGATACTAATAATAATTACAGAAGAAAATCTTTATGTTCAAGTCTTGTAGAGATTAAAGAATAAATTTTCTTTTGAAGATTTTGAAATTCGTATTGCAAAAATATTAATCTAAATTAACGAATTTATAATAATTCATGTATTGATCAAGTTGCTGTTATATAAATTGAAGGGAACAATTCAAATATTTCATTTGAAAAAGATATCATAGTTCATACTCATTCAAAAAAACAACAGAAAGTTAAATACTATTTGAATTGTTATTGATCCCTTACAATATTATTTATTTTTTTTCAAACGAAAAAGTTAATTGGTATTAAAATATCAAAAAAGTCATTTTGAATAATAGTAATAACAATAAAGTAATAATTAAAAATATACTATCTTTTTGTTTAGTAGAAGAAAATTTTTATATAGAATGCATAAATATTGTGAATTTAATATTTTTTAAAACTATGGTTTGTTCAATTTTTCTAAATTTTATTTAGTAAATTTGTTTTCATTATTTTTATCACATATATAACAAAATTTTTACCCAAATTATATACTTAAATATAGAAATATAAAGCAAAATTTATTACTTTTATTGATGACAAAATATTTCAAAATTTTTAATTTTGTATACCCAAATGTACTTTGCCAATAATTATGAAAATATATACACTATTAATTCACTCAAAACATTAATAAAGGTTATCTTAATATTTATTATTTTATCATGAACTAAAAAATTTGAAGAACATCTTAAAAATATTGATTTAATGTATATCGTGTATATTATTATGTATTAAAGTGATAATAAATTAAAAGTATTTACTCATATTTTTTAAATCATTTACACTTGAACTTTTTCTTTTTTCTTTCTTTACCTTAAAAAATGCATCATCGAGTATATATTGTAATTATTTTCTTTTGGGATGTATAAAAATTAGTGACAATAATAATGGACAATTAATACCTTAGTAATTAATTATTGAAAATTTAAATATAATCAATATAATTTAGTAATAATCATTGACAACTTAGTAGTAAATTAATAATAATTTAATAATAAATGAATAATAATTTAATAGTTAATAATTGATAACTTTTTAGTGAATTAGTAATAATATAATAATAAATATATAATAATTTAATGGTAAATCAATTATAATATAATTATAAATGTATAACAGTTAAGAATAACTTAACAAAAAATAAATGACAACTTAATAATTAATTATTAAAAACTTAGTAATAAATGAATAATAACCTAATAATAAATTAGTGATAATTTAATAATAAATTAGTTTCAGTTTAATAGTAATTAATTGATAGTAATTATTCATTGAAAACTAAAAAAAGTTAATTAGTATAATTTAGTGGTAAATCATTGATAGTATAATAGTTAATTAGTAATAATTTAATAGTAAATAATGCATAATTTAATATAAAATAGTAATAACTTAGTAGTAAATCATAGATAATTTAGTAATAAATCAGTGATAATTTTATGATAAATAATTAAAAATTAAATAGTAAATTAATGATAATATAATAAATATATATAATAATATTATAATAAATTATTGATAATTTAGTAATAAATTAATAACTTAGTAGTAAATTACTAATAATATAATAGTAAATTACTAATAACTTAGTTATAAATTAGTGATAAATTTAGTAATAAATTAGTTAATTACTAATAACTTTTTAGTAAATCATTAAAATATTAGTAATAAATCAGTTATAACTTTATAATAAATCATCAATAACTAAGATTGACAGCTCAACTCAAAACCGAAGGGTTTCGATCCGACCCAATAGAATTGGTTTTTTTTTTTTTAAATCGAATTTTATATCGGATCGGGTATTATTAAGAAAAAACAACGTCGGATCGGGTTCGGGTTTTAGGCAAACCCGATTCGATCAAACCCGATATTATATAAAAAAATTATTTTTTAATTATTTATTTATATATATTTATATATTTATATTTTAAAAAATAATATTTTATTAATTTCGGGTCGAGTCGGGTACAATTTATACAATGTCGGGTTCGGGTATAAAAAAATAAAAAAAATTTTGGGTCCGGTTCAAGTTTTATGGCTATAAAATTAAGTTGGGTTAGGGCAAGCAAAAACCCATTCCAACCTGACCCGTTGTCAACTCTATCAATAACTTAATGGTAAATCTCCAACAATTATTCATAAATCATTCATAACTTAATGATAAATCTTTCATAAATTAATAGTAACTTAATGACAAATCTTTCATAAATTACTAGTAAATCATTTATAAATTAGTAATAAATTATTAATAGCTTAATAGTAAACAACTGCTAACTTAATTATCAACTACTAATAATTTTATTATACTTAAAGTTGTCAGAGATTGAACCTTAAGTACCATTAAAAATGAAATCAAAACGTGCAATTTAGGGATTAGGATAAATCTATCATGAACATTTTCAATAAAAAATTTACGAAAAAATTATAAAATTTGAATAAAACAATAATGTTATTGTATAAAAAAAATTATCTTGTATATTATTAATGGATTTTTAAATTTCATATTTCATAATTGTAAATACATAACAACATAATAGTAAATTAATGATAGGTTAATAAAAATAAGTGACAACTTATTAGTTAATAATTGAAAACTTAATAAGAAATCAATGATAATTTAAAAGTAAATTAGTGATAACTTAATAGTAAATCAATTTTAATTTAATAGTAATTAATTGATAAATAAGTAGTGAATCATAAAAAACTTAATAATAAATTAATGATAATTTAGTAGTTAATCATTGAAAAATAAAAAATAAATCAACATAATTTAATAGTAGTTAATCATCAATAACTTAATAATTAATCAATAATAACTTGATAATAAATTATGAACAATTTAATATAAACCAATAATAACTTGATAATAAATTATAATTACTTTTGTAATAAATCTGTGATGATTTTGTAATAAATAATAAAAAATTAAGTAATAAATTAATGATAATATAGTAATAAATGCATAATAACATAATAGTAAATCATTGATAATTTAGATGTAAATTATTAATAACTTAATAGTAAATCATTAATACTTTAGTTATAAATAAATGATAATTATAAGCAAATTAGTTAATTATTATAACTTTATAGTAAATTATCGATCAATTAATAGTAAATAAATTATAATTTTGTAACAAATCATCAGTTAATAATAAATCATTAACAATTTAATAGTAAATTGATCATAACTTGATAGTAAATAAATGTTAATTTAATAGTAAATTATTAATAATTTAGTAATATTTCATTGATGATTTAGTAATAAATTACTGATAACATAATAATAAATTAATGATAACTTAATTGTCAATTATTGATAAAATTTTTTTATATTTAAAGTGATTAGGAATTGAATCTTGATTACTAACAAAAATGAAGCTAAAAATTTTATTTTGGAAGATTAGAATAAACTTATCATAAGCCTATTCAAGAAAAAAAATTAGGAAAAAAAATTATAAATTTGAATAAAACAATAATGTTATTGTATAAAAAAAATTATCTTATACGATATCTGAACTTAGAATCCATTTTTTAATATATAATAACTCAAATTTTATCAATAATTATAAAAAAAATATACCGTAAGTTATTAAAAGATTACCAAAATTACATCAAAAAATTACTAAAATTTTACAAAAATTAACAAAATTTTATCAATGGTTATCAAAATTATATCATAAATTACCAAAATTATATCAAAAGTTATTAAAATTTATCAAAAGTTATTAAAATCAAAATTATATTAAAAGTTATCAAATTTTACTTATATTATATCAAAATTAAAATCAAATTATTAGTATTTATCATTATTATCATAGCATAAAAAATTATTTATTAAAATAAATTTTTATAAATAAAAATTACACGTATGTTAAGCACGTGGCAAAAACTAATATATATCAAAATTACATGTGATAAAAAAATTTTGAGTCATGTCAATGCAAAATTTGTATATCAAAATTGTGCAGATATATAAAACAGAAGAGGCAGCAAAAAGTTCCAAGTGGACTTTGATGCCATCTCTCTGAGACAGCATCATGATCTGCATAAATTCTGGGCATAAAAACCAGAAGTTAGAATTGATCACTTCAATAACAAAGACCTAAACCAGCCTGAAGTTGGAAGACCTCTAGAAAACTGAAACAAGGCAGTGCTGATGATATATCAAATATTAGATATACAAAGTTTTTACTTATTATATGATGGGGAAAATGATTAATTAAAAAAGAAAAGAAAAGAATGTAATGCTGAAGGCAGGCAGCATTAGAAGAAGACGAGGATCCATAATGTCCTCCATAAAAGTGAAAACTGCCTTCATCTAGCAGACTTATAGTAGCAGAAAGTCACATATTGTATGCTTCACAGTCACTTCAGGGCTTTGGTTCTGATGCCCTTGAGTCCTGACACAGCCTTTATCAGACCAAATATCAAGTTGGATACTATACCTTCTTTCATTACTTTCATCGCTTGTCTTTACTAGCAGGTGAGTTAGAGTCTGGATCAGAGGCAACAGGATTTGTGTTCCTAAGTGGCATCTCATGGTTATGTTTACCTTCATACGTTGTAATGAAAGCTGTAGGATCATCTGATGCCCTTTCTACATGCTTGCGCACATTGCATTTTAGACTAGTGCATCTGTAGTAACTTCTGCGAGGCAGATTATCACGAGCAGTAAGAAAACAACCGTAAAAAATACATAATTAGCAATCAATGCTTATATATAGTACACATTTAAAGTATTATAGATGTTGCATCTATTATGTTAGCTGCAGATGATTGTAGCAGGCTCCACTTTTAACGGAGGTCAGTCCATCTTCAAAATTGAAAGATCAATAATGGTTTTCAGATATACACAGGTTCTTTTCATTATGGGCTATGAGGAGGTTGCGAATGCATTGTTCACATAGACAACCAACTGCATGCAAAAGTGATTACACTATACCAATGATAACATAATTCAAGCATCAATCAGAGTAAAAGAAGATCACTCAAAGTAGGAAGGACTAAAATTTTCAACAGAGGAATTTGAGACTGCCACATTAAGCCTAAAAGGAAGTACTATATATCAGCTCGATGTGCATTTTAAACAAGTTGAATTTCAACCTGGGATATGGATTTCCCTTCACCACCTTCCGCCCATATTTTCTCCATCGAAAGCCGTCTCCCATAATCTCAGAATCAGTAGAACTTTGCACTACAACACGAGGTTCTTGGATGCCTTCCCTTGAGGTGCCCACTTCACTGAATTGATTCTCACTTTTCCTAAAGGAAACAGATCACAAATTAAAAAAAAAAAAGTTATTTCTTTGATATGTAATAATGTTTTCATTTCACTAGCACGGTGAAACCAATCTCAAACAGTTTTGCTTGCCAAATCCTTAAAAATCCTAATTTCTTACCTTCTTTTACTTCTAGGTTCATCATCTTCTCCCTCCTTGCTTCCTTCCTCACATTCCCCACTAAGACCAATGGAATTTTCAGAAGTTCCACCAGCATTAATAGCTCCAGCAGTAACGTGTTCATAAGGTAGCAGAGCTTTGCCTTGATACGATGTGGGAGCAGACAACCCGGCTTCATTCTGATTTTCAACTCTACCTTCAGAAAGTTCATTCCTTTCATTAGGATTATTACTCCACAATGAGATGTTGGTATCTTGACCAGTCGCATCAGAAGTAAATCCTAACCCTTGGGTCCCTAATGAATTTCGTTTGAGAGGCTGAGGTTTCGAATGGTTGTGTTCACCCTTGTAGACAATTTCAGCTATTTGACCATCAAATGATCTTTCAACTTTCTTTTTTACAGGACAATTCGGGTGCGTACACTTATAGTAGCTTCGTGGATACTCACTTCCTTTCACCTGCTTTTGTCCATATTTCCTCCAATTATAGCCATCAAAAGAAGGTCGATCACTATTTGCTATGGCAGGTACAATTTTTGGGTCCTCCATGTTCTGAGATCCCACCTTTGAGGGTTCACTTGTCTGATCTGTTTCTGCATGTGATGAAGTATTCTGGTGAAGATTTGGAGTAACTTGGGTTCTGAAATTCTTTTTCTCTTGTTTTGTATATTGAGCTGGTATCTCTGTTGATTGCAGTGTTGGTTGATTGCTAGCACTGAAGTTTCCCTGCAAAAATTGGAACTCTAATATCAGCAGAAGGACGTTGGTAATGCAAATTTAACTCGTGTCATCCCCACGAGTATGGAATAAATAACGAGCATCTGAGGGGACAAAACTGCGGAATACAAATATATATATATATATATATATATATATATATAGTATTGTTAAGACTTTGACTAGAAGTAGCAGTTTCTCCAGCGGATAAACTAACGCATAGAATTCTGCTACTGACCATGTTTGCCAATAGAGAAACAGTTGTCTTTGATACAAGCTTTGCCTGTGGTTTGTATACTACAGTAGGTTTGACATCTGATTTTAAAACCTTATCAGAGGAATTAGAAACACCTATTCCAGAGAGCTCTGCCTGAAATTGTCAGATGACAAAAATATGAGAGGCAGAAAGATCTTGAAATGAGAAAAGGTATTCAGATGAACTAAGAGAAAACCTGGGAAGAAATCATAGCAGATGGAGCACGATTCACCACTGGCTTGAACCTCACTGTCTTCGGTCTAATTGCAGGAACTGCATTTTCAGAACTGGCATTAGGGGGTGAGGCATTAATAGCTCCTGCAAGGAGCTCCGAGAAAGACTTAAAACTCGAACAAGTAGGCCTTGAAGCTACTGGCTTAGCTATGACTATCCTCTCTGCTTCTTTAACCTCCATTTCAATAAATATATGAAAGGCCAATTATATTTTACTGGAGCATAATGTGCCGGAAGGAAGACGTGTAAACCCAATTATACCACCTCCTTGATACTCAATTAAGCTAGATAGCAGTAGAAAATACTACTGTTCTTGAGAGGGAAAACTTGCTGAAGGAGGAATTGCAGAAGACGTTTTAGAAGTCATTCTCTGTCAGTGTCAGCTTCAGTTATGCACAGCTCAAAATCAACCTATTCAGACCTGCATGCACCAGGATTATATAAGTAACATGTCTAAACAGAAGATTAAATTGACAAGAGTTACATGCATAGGAGGAGAGATAAGCAGTAAGCAGTCCTGAAAATGTTCCCTGTAATAAAAGATGTTGAGCTCTTACAACTTCAGATGCAACAGAATTGTTATCTCAAAGTCTCAACAACATACCAAACTACACAGCACAACCATGAATCATTTGCTGGATCCACTTTTCATGTACTAATGCAGCTGTTTTCAATACCTCAGATGAGCTTAATTTAGAATGCCATTAACCTTTAACTTGTCCAAAGCCACTGTTGCAGAACACCTCAGCCGTAAAACTATGACACTGGCAAAAGTTCATACCACACTGGTAACATGAATTTTCATTTTAAAGGCATGCCAAATGAATAAATTGGATAAAACAGAACGTATCTTGCTTTCTGGAAAGTCTCTAAAGCTCCACTCATACTTGAATGTAGTTGAATAATTGAACCAACTTTTGCTGACAGAAAACACTTTTCCTGTTCAACCTTCAAAGTAGCTACAAGCCAACAGCATTTTGAAGCCATATTTTCACTAAGAAAGTAAAATTGTGAGATGAAATATACTGTAACTTCCCAATTTTGTCCATTTTATAAAACAATTACTAGTTGTTTCCCAGATTTCCTCTCCTGCAGCATGTACAATGAAGCTCAAACATTTTCTGTGCTGCTGGAAAATAACAATAACACAATCACAATCGCTTCACCCTTACCTTAGTACTATTCAGAAGATGACTCTTTTGCTATTTAATAGTGTCTTCCTCAGTGGTCATGGACAGCCTAGATTTCAGGATTCCCGAATAAAATGCAGGCCAGAACCCAGAAAATTACTGACCCTAAATCAAGATAAAGCTTTTCTTTATTTTCATCATTACCAAAGATCAAGATAAAGCTTCCTTCCAACCTACAGTAACTACGATAAAACACCTCAATCTTTATATCCAAGAGACTCCGGTCTTCAATTCATCAAATAAACAAACTTGTGAACTCATATGTTTTTCTAGAAAAACCAAACTATCCCATATAGCACCATGAAGAAGAAGAAAGAAAAAAAAAAAAAAAAAAAAAGCTAGTTTTAACAGCATTTGAGAATTATACTTTGTCACAGTAATCAGAAAAAAAAAAGTCCACCTTTACGAAGAACACCTAAACCCCAAAATAAATTTTTTTACAAAAAAATGAAGAAATCTAAGTTCAACTGATAACATGAAAGCAAAAAGTAGATAAACACAAATAATAATAATAATAATAATAATAATAAATAGAGCTTAAGGAAATGAGAACTGACCAGAATGGCAGATAAGTAACAAAGTGACAACTTGTTTTTGCATCCATGAAATCTCATTGTGTTCTGTCTTTTTAGCTCAGTCTGGATGACAGACCAAGGAAATTTAAAGAGAAAAACAAAACAACATAATTTGCTTTTGTGAATTATGACCTCGGAAACTTCTAGCAGAAACAAAAAATGTCAGTATACATAAAAGGAAACGTGACTGAAATCCTGAAACACAAAGAACTTGGCCTCGAATAAGGAGAAACCTTCACCAGTTAACAGAGGAAATACCAGGCTTATGTTCACTGGATACATATTTCCATTCATGAAATGATAGTTTTTTCTGTTCTTTGAACTTATTAAAACAAAGACAGCTTCAGAAACCAAAACAAAAGGGTTTAAGCTGAACTGGTTTTCTTTGAGTAACACATTTATTTTAAGGCAAGGAAAAAAGATTAGATTTTCAACGTCTGCTCAGTGTCTGAAACTAGAAAAATGAGGAAGTTCACAATTTTTTGATAAGTTAAAAAATTGAAAAAAAAGAGCAAAAAGAAAGAAAAAGAAAAGGTTGCTGAGGTTAAAAGGAGAAAAAAAGGCTTGAAATGAAATCCCACTAAAGTGTTTTTTATTTTTGTTTTATTAAGTTTATTTTAATATTAATTTTTTTAAATTTGGTATATGTATTGTATTTGAATCAGAAACTGTGATTGGTGGATTACAGCGGGAGAGAGAGAGAGTGATGCTGCAGCCAACTAACTGTCTCTCTCCATGCCTCTGTTGACTCTCTGTTGCGAGTCCCTTTCCTTGCTTCCTGCATCAAAATGGAAACTCTGATCCCACCGTCCCCATCACCGCGCGTTGAATACAACGACTCTACCGCCTCTTTCTGTCTTTCTTCTAAAAGACTCTTTTACTCATGGTTTTATTATGAGACGAAAGAGTTTACAAGGGCAAAAGAGTCTTTCCATATGACTATTTTTTAAGAGGAAAGGCCTGCATATAATTTAAACCGTTGGGGAGGATAGAAAACTGGTTCCAAATTCCAATGTGTCTGGTTGAGGAATCAAATGATTCAAATATGTTGAGTTATTGATTTCAAGCACAAAATTTTTTCAAAACTCCGATTGGCAACATTAGTCGAGGAAGTTGGCCAAAAAAAATCCATTAAAGGAAAGGAAAAGATATATTAATAATTGTAACATTGTTGATATATCAAAAGAAAATCCTATGGTCTCCTTCGATGATACCTATTAATACAATTAAAAGGGTTAATATCATTTTAATATCAAATAACCATCAAAACAGGTTAGCAAATCAATTTGTCATTCTTGTTATGGTTAAAAACAAAAGACATACACATTTTCATTTACTCATGAATTTTGGTGTTCAACATAATCCATAATATGACAATACTCATATAGAAGGTTTTTCCATGGTGAGCATTTAGACAACAAATTCCCACTAAATTATTAAACAATTAAAAGGGGATATCTAAATCAAGATTTGGTCAAGCAAAAAAACAAAAATGCAAGAGTTAATGGAACCTGATTTCAAGAGTTTGATTCAATAAAGACTTTCGAGATTCTACATTGTTTTTTTAAAGGCGGCATTCGAATTTTAATACAAATATATATAATATAAAGGTTTTGCCTTGATCGAAGGGCTCGATATTAAATATTAATTAGGGTTACCTAACAACTTGTCATTATTGTATTATTTTCTAACTCAAAGATTAAAAATAGGTTACATACAAAGAATGAAAAAATATGAATAAGAGTAAGCTGTCGAGAACAAAGGCAAACATCATATATATATATATATATATATATATAATATTATATTTGAAATGGTTAGATATTAAATTTTACGTAAACAAAAAATAAATGATTGATTTAAGAATATTTTTTTTTTTTTACAAACTCAAAATTTGATTCAATTAATTTATAAAATCATATATAATTTAATTAATTTTTTAATTCTTGATTACGATCACTTTCATATAAAAAATATTTTTATCTATATATGCTTAGAAATGGATGGAAATTTGGTCCAACTTCAAATCATGAAAACCAATCAATGAAAGGACTAAGAATCCAAACATGGATTTTTTCTTAAAAAATGTAACTTAATTTTTAATAAAAAAATTAAAAATATTATGGGTTGAGTTCATCTTATCACACTGATAAGAGTTAAGATGTTTTTGAATATAATAATTAAAATTTACTTAATTACTAAAACTATATATATGGAAATACCCCGTTGATTAATGAAAATCAAAGTTGGAAATTAATTAAATTTGAGAATTAGTTGTGGTTTTGGTTTGGAATGTTAGTTGGGAGGAACATGACAAGAGACGTGTGGAAGTCCAACTTTCAAACTGAAATTCTAGGTCGTGACTGGTAGTTGTGTTCTGTTATGTGTCACGTGCCAAAAATTATCTCTACCCTTTATTTTACCAATTTTTTCCATTAATTTGGTTCTTTCATTTGCTAATTTCAAAAACTTCTTTGTGACTCTCTTTATCTCATTTTCTTTATCCATCTTTTTTTTTTTAATATTCTAAAATTATGTCTTATTTTTTAAAACATCTAAAACTCTTTTTTTATATATATTTTAAAATTATTCTTATGAACATTAAAAATCACGAAATTTTAATTTTATAAAAAAAATTTAAATTTTAAAATGCTTAACTTTTAATTATAATGAATAGAAATTAATTATTTAACAATTTTACTATAAAAAAATAATTTATTGTGATGGATTGCTCAAGTCAAGTTTTAACATTTGACATTTTACTCATATCAAGATAAAATTTTTTGTTTGTTTGATCTAAATCAAAACCAAAAATATTTAACGAAAACCAATTATAATCAATTCTTTGTCATTGTTTTCTATAACTCTAACCTTGTTTATGAATGTGGCGATTTATAAATTCATAAATCCATTTGAGCACAATTACTCATAATATAAAAGAAGATAACAAAATATAGAAAAACGAAAACAACAAGAACTTTTTGTGCTTTGTATAATACTAGTTGTTAATGAAAAGTCAAATTGTTTGGGTTAAAGTAAATTCTTCCATACTTCCTTAGATTCAAATATTAAAAAAAAAAAAAATCAAAACCGGACAATATTCAATGCAGAGTCAAGTGCTTTTTTTTTTTTTTATAAGTGAATTAATTCCCTCTTGGTGTGATTAGGGTTTTGGTTCTGGTCGAGAGCTGTAAAGAGGTAGGGGGGTAGTTCGTGCTACGGCGATGGGCCACTGAAAGGTGAATCGATGGCGACCAAGACCACAGTCACAAGTTAAGAATAATCTTGTTCCTTTGAGGAAAGAGATAACAACAACAAAACAACCTTTGTTTAAATGCAACCACCAACACTGAAAAAGGTGTTTCTATCAATAAAACCCTCTAGCTCCCCTTTCCTTTTCTTCCTTGAATAATCAAGTTCCAACCTCAGAAATTTACTTGCTTTTCTACCTCCATTCCAACCCCCAACAACGCAAGAATATGAAATTTACTACTACATTGAATTGTCTTCTGCTGGGTACTGCTCATTGCTGAGTAACTAAGATTGACGTACCTTAATAGTAACATTACTAGAAAGAGTGATTGCTTTTGGAATATTATAAACTAATCATTCATGAATTCAAATGAAAAAAAAAAAAAAAAGGCAATATAGTATTAAATTTTCATAATTCCATCAAGGGTCAAAACAATTTCAAACAATTAATTAATAGTATTAAAATTTTAATTTAGTGCAGTTTGTCAGAATATATAAAAGTTTCAAAATATATTAATTCTTAAAATATATCCGTTTTGTTGGGACAATTGTGAATTTGACACTGGAATTCAAGTTGGCTGCCCCACTGTTTGGATTCAAAGAAGGAAAATTAAGCGATCCTTTTCTTTCTGCATTTATTGATGCTTCATTTGAATTGTTTTTCTCGTTTTATAATAATTCATACGACATTTGTTTTATTGTGAGAATCCATTTTCACCGGTTATCCAAGATGAGGCACGAGCATTTACTTTTCGTCCCTAATGTTTAGAGCTTACGTGTACAATATCCATAAATATGAGATTAGGTGTACGCTGAGCAAATTAATTTGTTTGGTGGAATTCATGTTTACTGTACTCAACTGCACCTACCCATCTTTATATTTAGCTTTATATTTAGTATTTCTTTTTTTTTTTCTTTCTAAAATGTGCCTTGGTTTAACTTATTTGTTTTTTTGAGAATTTGTTTAACTATTTTCTTGGTAAATGACTTGTAAAATTAATGTTATTTGAATATCCTAAAAACAGTTGTTAGGTTGATTTTTTTGGAGAAAGAAAATGCTAATGAGTGATCAAGAGTCAAGTAAGATAAAAAAAAAAAAAAAAAAGCTTATTTGAACCTAGTTTTGTGTATATGAAACAAACCTTTTGAAAGTAAAACATAAGATCAGCTTTATCATTTCCTGCTATCCATTAGCTTTACTTAATAAGACAGTAGTATATTTGTTTTTCTTATTCCTTTGTTCCTGACCTCATCCAACTTGTAAAGATTTTTTAGGAAGTTACAGTTTAGGAATAGAAAAAAAAATTTATAAGTATTGAAATTTAAATTTTAAATTTATTAAATATCATCTTTTAAAAATTATTATATGAATATAAAACTTTGAAAAGTAAAATAATCATAAATAAATTTTCTTTAATCAGCATTCAAGAGTCAAGACCTAGTCATGCTTCCTTCAAATCTAAGTAAATAATAACTCAATGAATGTCATAAATGTTTTCTTTTGTTGAAAGATAAATTTAAAGGGCATTTAAACTTGCAGGTGATTTCAATTTCAGTAGGTAATGCTCATCCTGACCTTCAAAGGAAGCAACTGAGAATAAGAAAGTTGATATTGCAAAAATACACTGGGCTCAATTTCTTTTGGGCTTTTCCAATGTTCACTTCTCTATCCAAAATCTTCATGCAGATTGCTAGGTCAATGTCTTCAAATACCATTTAAACCATAGCCAAGTAATTCAATTCCAACGATACTTTTCATAATCAAATCTCAGTTAAGAAACTTCAGAAACTAACCAATAAAACATTATCAAATGTTCGCAAAGCACACTCTATTGTTCAATGAAGTTCATGAATCCAGCACAAAATACCGAAAGGGTCTTATTATAGAAGTCTTCCATCTTCTCGAGTTCCCCTAATGCACAAGTTAAATCCACAACATTCAAATTAAAAAGAAAGGTCTACAGCAATAAAATACTGTTCAAGTCAACATTCTAAAATAATCCACACGAAGGTCTTCTCATTATGAGTGTAACCAAATCTTGTTGCAGTATCAGCAAGAGGATTTAATTTGATATCTCTTCTTCTGTTTATGTTCTTGTTCATTTGTCGCATGAATTGCCTTCAGATGCTGGGTCGTTGTTGTTCACTGTTTGTCGCACGAATTGACCTCTTATGCGAGGTCGTTGCTCTGCTAGTTGTTTCCTGCTTTGGTACCGAACCTGGAAAAAGCCGAAGTATTAAGAAAAAGTTTCTGTCTCTGACATAATGAGCTCCAAGTGTGTAAAAAAATTAAAATGTAGCATTCTACTATTGGTATTCCAAAAACTAATGCGCGTATGTTTTCTCAATACAAGGGAAGTAACCAGTTCATGTATTGGCAGGAAGATATCTGAGTGAGATAGAAGCAAAAATAGTTTGTCCTAGTCAAAATGGAAACAAAATCTTCCGTGTGTACAAAATTCTTATGCATGTAATATACGCATGTCTGAAATAAATGGCATAGCTTGAAGTTTTGACTATCTCCCATATTATTAAACAGCTCAATGTTTGTTACCTTTTTCCGGAAGCATCTTTCCTTCCTCTTCTGACGAAATTTGGTCAATGCGGCTTCCCTATGAGCAAACTTGCTCTGGTCTGCCTTGCTTCCACTTCCACTCCCACTCCCACTTGCATCACCACTTCCACTTTTCCCAGCTATTCCATTGTCACTCTCTATGTTTTTCCCTACAGTATTGACTCCAGTGCTACTTCCATTTGGTCCATTTGGTCCATTGCTTCCATGGTTACTACCTGAGGCACTTCCATTGAGACTGTAGTTGCCAGCATTTCCTTCAAGAGGCCCACCCAACACATTGGACGACCCACAACGAGGAGCATCTGCAGCCATATTTTTCAAAGATAAATCATCATGTTCAGGTGGCTGCTGCTGCTGCTGCTGTTGCATACCCTTAGCAAGATGGTAATGTTGATCATAACGGTTTGGAGGCTGTAGCATTTGGAGTTCTTGGTGAGTAACTCTAGGTTGAGCCAGTCCTGCTGTAGTAATTACATCATCAGACTTGTCTAATACAACTTTCTGAGTAGCACTTAAACGATCATTTTTCATAGGCTGGAAAGTAGAGGGTGGGTGTGAAGATCTGACAGTGGATGATGCAGCTGACTTATTCTTCAAAACTGATGCCTTGGCAAAAGCATTATTAGTTGTGGAGCCCATATCAATGTTATTGCTGCCAACATTTGAGCATTGATTGGGAAGGTCATTAACCAAATGAGATTGAGTATCACATAATGATCCTTTTCTTGTCAGTTCTAAATTATTATCAAGTGCAGACGAGCTTCCAATGTTGACAGTGGGAACCTTATTTGCAGTTGACGCGGTATTATACCTGCAGGCAATACACATCATGGTCAAAACTAATCAGAATTCAACAAATCTTTAAAGAATACTTTTCAATGATTAAATAGTTGATGTTCCTATGCATTAATCCCTCCTTTATACCTTGAGAAGGCTGAAGAGTCTGAACGTCTCAAAACATTCCGCTCATCCCTAACTACAGTCCCATCATCTTTAACTCCTAGAAATCTCTTCAACCCAAGTTGAGTAGATGGTAGTTCTTTAGGATCGTTGATGGTTTTATCATTATTGCTATCTGATATCTTGGAAAGCCTGTTTGAAGCCTCATACTCTGCAGTTTCCTTGTTAAGATCAGTAGTCTTAAAGGTGATGCCCATTTGCTTAGCAGCTACAGACTTTAGTTTGCTGGATTGGCCTTCACTATTGAGGTCCAGCTGCGTTTTATCAATCAGTGCATTTAATTTACTGGAGCTCATCTCAAGCAGGTTAGTTTGTTTCGTTCCAACTGTTTTGATTGGGACCTCAACCCAGCGCTCTAGTTGTAAATCTACATTTCTAGGCATTCCTATATCCAGGTCTTTACCCATTGCAACATTGTCTGCAATAGAAAGGATCAAAAAAATTAAGAGAAGAAAAAAGAGACACTGCAGTTTACCATTGAAGGAAAGAAAAGTAAAAAGGAACTAAAAGATGAAAGATGTTGACCAGCATGATATACATCAAGCTATAAATTTAAAAATTCACGTTTACCAAGCTGTTCATCTCCTTCTTGGCACCCCCTTGCTGCAGTAACTGGCACCCATTTGTTCCCAGATACTTCTGCATTTGAATGAATAACTTGGGCACACGTACTATCAGGGCACTCAACAAATTGATCCCAGGGTGAGACTGGACAGGGGCTGTCAACTTCAACTGCTTGTTTTGTCCAAGAACTCTACAAAAAGAGAATGCAATGATAGTTTTCCTATACATATATGTACAGGTTTCTAACAACTTCTGTAAACTTTTGATCCAAGGTTTGAGAGCAATTCAATTCAACCATTAAGTATGAGGTCATTAGAGGTAAAATCCCAAATACCACAAGGTTTGACATGATCAGGAAGGATGGTGCATCAGTAGGGAATATAGCCCTAAATTTGGCATGCATAAAATAGATTCATGCAGACTACCATAATATTTTTGGACTAAGGCTCAGTTGAAATTGAGAAAAATAACGAAGATATGCAAGTTTTAAATGGATTTCAAGGTTGCATTTTGTCACTAAATCTTGATTAGTGGAACGACCCATATAACAATTCTGTTATGCATGGGTCAGCTTAAGTTGTTACCAAACAATCAATAATGCTGTTGGAGATCAGAACCTACTTGTCTTCTCTTCATATGAACAACCCTTTTAAGCACTGGTAAGAGCTACTCAAATATTTTGATCACACACTAAACAGTTCTCTTTTCTTGAGAATATCTTTAAATATTATAAATTAATGCATACAGAGGGAAAAAAAAAAAAAACTAACCTCACTGCACTATGGTCTATGACATGAATCAATGCAAGAGTAGTAGCTCAAACGGAATCCTTCTGCACTTTAAGGCCTAAACTTCACTACTAGATATCAACCTTAAATAAAAGGACAAATTTATAATACCTGAGTGCCACTCCCATCATCACTACCATCCCCAACATTTAGACCGATGCTCCCATTATTGTCCTCATCATTGCTGCCAGTGTTGTTGTCAGACTTCTCAACACTTTTTGATTTCACAGATTTTTGAGTTTGTGTTCCACTCTCACTTCCACTACCACTAGACTGAGAAAGCAGAAAACTAATCATTTGGCAAAAAAAACTATGAAAACATAAAATGTAATCCAATTCTCTCTCTCTCTCTCTTTGCTTTTGTTTTTCCTTTGGATATGTATGGATGAAGTAAAATGCCACGATAACAAAGTTGTATAAGTAGAAGTTCTCCTAATCAATACCAGTCCTATAACATTACCTTCCCCATACAATTGGAAAATAAACTAGACGAGTATGCTTTTAGTTTCAAATATTTTTTCTATTTTCTTAAAAATGAAGCAGGAATCTAATTATGAAGTAGGAAGTTAACAACTCACACTATGGCATCTCCTCCAAACATGCTGCCAAAGGTTTTTAAGCTCATTCTTTCGAATAGGTTTCACTAAAAAGTCAACCGCACCTTTTGACAAACACTTAAAGACTAGACCCATTGAATCCTGAGATGACATCACTGCATGCAGATCTCATCAAAAAATATTAGTTAAAAGTATCTTTTTGAAAAGCTCAAAGTGAACGCAAGAATAAAAATGGCTTGAACAATAAACAAAAACGCAGAAGAGACTGGAGAACTTACTGATCACAGGAATGTTTTTACGTGATTTGTGGCTCATAATCTTGTTCAAAAGAACCATGCCAGATAAGGATGGCATACCCACCTCAGCCAATACAAGATCAATATGAATGGTCAAATCTTCTAGCATCTTCCATGCTTGCAAATTATTTGCAGCTTCAATAACTAGGAATATGAGTGAGTGTTTCAGTTAACATAGGCTACATAAGCCCCTATATTTCACCAAGTAATTGATAAGTTGAGCATTCTAGATGGAAGAGCATGTCCCAAACAGGAGTAAATATATCTCTTATAAAAAGAAAAGAAGAGGAGAAGAATCAAACATGAAATAACTGATAAGAGTAAATAGGTATCATAAAATTTCATCATTAAAACCTCACCAAATATCAAGTATATTGATGCTATGAAAAGACAAGATGCAAAATACAATAAGACAATTTCTGGCTGGAAGAACTACTGCAAGCTGGACTAGGCTTAACTTAATTTGGCTCTCAACAGGCAAAAAATAGCAAATATTTTCAGTTCTTGTAATTGGAGAGGCTAATTATCAAATCGATCTAGTTGAGAAATCAGCTCCCCTTCTGTATGGCATGAAATTTTTTAAGGTTGTAGGTATGAGAAATTTAATAATTATAGAATCATCTAGAATAACCTCCAAACCTTGATAATTCCAAGATAATAAATTCTGAGGCACAAATCTACAATTTTGCATCCCTTCAGCCAAAAAAGAGGAGAGCAAAATTGTTGTCTTGAAATCCTAGAAAGACTTGAGTCACTAACCTTCATAACAGCAATTGCGCAGAAGTGCAGTGACAACATGACGAGTAGAATCATCATTTTCTACAAGCAGAACCTTAACTGTTCTTACATGTAGAAACCTCTCCCAACAACACATTGCATTTTGAGGTTGTTGCTGTGAGATTTGCAGCACAGCAGGGGCCTGAACAGCCCCAACATGATCATCTTTTACATTTTGTGCAATCTTGTTAACTTTGCTAACTTTCAGATCATCCCCTTCCAGCATCACATGTTCCTCAGCCACAAGTCCATTTGTCATTCTCTTGTTACCATCATATAGCCGATGATTTAGTTCTTCTAACCCTCTGTCACTATCGCTATCAACTCTCATGTAGACACTTCCCTGTAAATCAGATTAGAAAAGACTGATAAGAATAAGAATGGTCCAACATTAGAACAGTGAAAATCTTTCCTCAATTCACAAAATAAATAGTATACATAGCTTCGTCTTCTAGAAGCAAAACCTTTGCTAATAGAGATAGATCAGCCTAAAACACAAGCAAATCATTAACGAGATCCATAACTAAAAGTTAAACAAATCACCATGACAAATATATATCTCACTTTGAATCTTCGGTAACCAACTCCATACTCCCTAAGCTGCTTTCACCATGTAAAAAAAACAGAGCATCGTATCAAAATAATCCACCAAAATCTAACCATTAACTTCAATCAACTAAGTATTGCTCCCGGATATTTCCCTCATTTTAGGGAACAAATTCACGTGCTAGAAACAAGATTAATTTTATACATAAACATTTAACCGCAAGTTAATTTCAAATTACAAAAATTAAATAAAATTTAAAGACTTCTTGGCCAAAACCCTAATTTCAAGCACCTAAAAATCTGCTCCTAAAGTTAAAGCAAAGCTTTTCTACAACTAACCAAAACCTAATCAAAAGATCTATAAGTAAACTACCAAATAGAAAATTTTGAATATTCTACAGCATCATTTCTTAGCTCTTAAAAAATGAAATCTACGGCGAAAAAGTAACGGAGTTCAATAAAAGAAAATTATTCCATTCTCATATAAAACTAAAGAACTTACAGGTGCTAGAAATGCAGATAATCCTCGCCAAAGCTTCAACTAGCCACCTTTATTGAGCTCCATCGAAAACCTATTTGAATTTAAAAATAACATTGTGCAAAAATTAAGGAAAAAATTTAATATCAAAGCGTAATTTTTTCATTAAAATGAGAAATTTCAGTTATTACCAAAGAAATTTTCCTCAATTAATTGCAGATTAAATATTTACTTTTAATTACCAAAAAATATTAATTTCTTAAAATAAATTAACTGCATGAGAAAAACAGTGACTCGGAAGGGACAGAAATCGCCGACATTTTCTTTAGCAGTCGGGAGAGGGGAGAAGATATTAAGAGGAGTCCAAGATGCTGACGTGGAAAAATGGAGGTGTGGAACGTTCCAGGAATTCCACGTCGAATGGAGGATATTTCCACCTGGCTAAATATTTGGGGGCCTATGGGATTGCTGAGGTGGACAAAATCAAAAGCCGCGAGTTCGAGTGTCTCTATAGCATCTCTAAAGATCTTGGTCATATCGTGGGCGACACGTGGCATGTCAAGAGCTGGGGAATACTGAGATTGGGCGTTACGTCGTTTTCACTGGCGTCAAAGTAGGCTTTGCTCGTATCAAATTTCAAACGATCCCGTTGGTTTATAGTTTAAGGCTGTCGTGACTGCGTTAAGTTGTTGGCCGAAATTACTAGAATAGCCTTGATAGTACAAAATGACAACATTACCGCAACTTGGCTTGGATTAAAATATGGGGAAATATCTAGGTGAGTGTTTGATACGGTGCTAGCTGTTAGGTCAAATTATGATAGTACTTTATGTATTTTAATAAAATTTAAGATTTTTTTTTATTATAATTTATAGAAATATAATTTTTATAATATTTTAATTTACTAATTTTAATTTAATCATTAATTTTGTCATATATTTTATGTTTAAAATACTATTTTGATTATTGACTTAATACCATAAATATTGACTTTATTAACATATTATGGAATTGCTAACATAGTAACATAGATGAATGAAATTAATAGTCAAATTATACAAATTATCTTTATACTCACACACAATTTGAATTTCAATCCCTTCAATATAATTTATAAAAAACGCATCCTTATAAAAGTTGAATTTTAATAATGTTAGTCTAACTACTAACACAATCAATTATTTTTTGTTGACTATACTAATACGATTGTTTTCTTTTTAGAAATTCATCTAAAAATTAAAAAATATCTTAACTTTTTAAATTCAAAAAATAAAAAATCCCAAAAAAACATAAAATTTTGATTTTTAGGCTTTTTTTGAATTTTTAAAAATATTAAATTAAAATTTTTTCAAATATTTTAATTTTTAAAAAAATCATATTTAGAATTTTTCTAATTTTAAAAATGTTAATTTTATTTTTTAAATATCTTATTTTTTAAAAAATAAAAATGTTTGACTTTTTGTAAGAAAATCTGATTAAATTTTTAAAAAATAATTTTCAATTTTTAGAATTTTTTAATTTTTTACCAATATTTTATTTAAAAATATATTATTTTTTAATAAAATTAGAATTTTATAAAATTAAATATTTGTAATTATTTTGGAAAATTTTTATTTTCCTAATATTAAATTTAATATTTTAAAATTAAAGTATTAGAAAAAAATTAAATTTAATCTTTTAAAAACTATTTTTTAAAAAATTAAAATTTTATGTTTTAAATAATAAAATAAATATTATTTTTAAAAAATTAAAATATTGAGAAATATTAAATTTAATGTTTTTTATAAATGAAGAAAAATTCTAAATAATTCATAAATTTGAATGTTTTAATTAAATCCTTATTTTTCAAAAATAGTTATGAAATATTATTTTTTAAAAATTAAAATACTGAAAAAAATTAATTTAATGTTTTTTAAAAAATAAAAAAACTAAAATCTTTTTTTTTTTTTACTTTTTATCTTTTTTAATTTTTCAAACAATTTCTTTTCAATTTTTTAAGATGGTTTAATTTTCAAATTTTTTTCTAAAAAGATAATTCTTACGTAAGCAAAGTTAACGATGTGTAATTGATTGTATTAATAATTAGATTAACATTATCAAATTGAACTTATACAAGAATGTAATTTTTATAAATTATACGATTTTTATAAATTATATTAAAAAATAAAATTTTAAATTTTTTATAAGTATGGAGATCATTTGTATAATTTAACAATTAATTTTATTTAGTCATATTGTCATGTTAGCAAAGTTAATACCACATTAATATAGTTAATGCATGTCACCAAAGTAAATATACATCATCAAATCAACGGTTAGGTCAATATTTTTAACAATAAAAATTAGATAGGCTTAGTGATTAAACTAAAATTGTTAAACCAAAATAATATTATGATTACATTTTTTAAATTATAATAGAGAAACTAAATTTCAAATTTAATTAAAGTATATGAACCATTGTCATAATTTAACTTAGTTGTTACACGAAATTAAAAATCTCTTAGATTTCGAAAATGACAATAAACTTGTTTTTGTTAAAATGACAAGATTACCTTTTTTTTTTTTTCTTTTCAAGAAATAAAAAAAATACGGTTACATGAAGCGAACAAGCAAATCAATTATTTTCTTTTTTCTTCTAGTCTTACACAATAAATCTCAACCTTTTTAATTCTAACTAGTATTTATCCTTGCACAATGTTATAAGATAACTGTTTTTATTTTTTTAAAATACATTGTTTGGTGTTTTTTTTTTAAATTGTTGAATTCAGATATAAGTTTTTTGTCTACAAAAAAATATAGATGTGATTTTTATAATTTTATAATTATTTTTATTTTAAGTTATTTTATTTTCATTAAAAGTTAAAATAGTCGTTGTATAATATTGGACAAATGTCAAAATATAACCTCTTGGGAAATTTTTTAATATATGTTTTAATTTCTTTATTATTTACATTTTAAAATATTTTATTTTGATTAAAGAATAAAATAATCATTTTATAATGTTAAAATAGATAAAATGATTATTTTACAATGCTGTGTCGCAATATAATACTTTTAGGTATTATTGTTTTCGTATTTTTTTAATTTTTTAATTTCTATTTTAAGTTTTTTTTTTAATTAAAGAGAACATTGATAATTTTATAATGTTAAAAAAAATCAAATGATCATTTTATAATATTAAATAGGTGTCAAAATGTAACACCTTTGAAAATTCTTTTAGCATATTTTAAATTTTTTATTATTAACATTTTAAGTTATTTTATCTGTACAATATAATAAAACTATCCTTCAACGGATAGTTTTTACACTTGTCCAAATATTTAATTATCATTTTATCCTTCTAATATTATAACATTACTATTTTACCCTTTAGTTAAAAAAATAAATTAAAATATCTATACTCCATATTAAAAGAATCTCCAAAGGGATTAGAGAGTAACACTTGTTAAGCATCATAAAATGATTATTTTACCCTTTTTAATATTATAAACAGACTATTTTATCCTTTAATCAATAATATAATTAAAATATTAATAATGAAAAATTAAAAATATATTAAAAAAATTTCCAACATAATTATATTTTCAGGTAAAATGGTCATTATATAATATTAAAAAATGTCAAATGATCATTTTACAATATTAAAAAAGTGTCAAAATATAATCCTTGAAAATTCTTTTAATATATTTTAATTTTTTTATTATTAACATTTTAATAATATATATATATATATATATATATATATAAACAACTCAAATACAACCAACAGAAAGACAGGTTCCTGTTCCTTTAAATTGTAGTCAAATCCATTTTCTTGGTTCCAAATCTCATAGTGGTTGACAACAAATAAAGATTTGAAGTTAAATTTCGACTAATGATTAAAGGTCATTAAGGGAAAAAAGGGGACCCATAACATGTTGTTAGAACATGGAGCATGAGGCCTTTACGAAGTATATGGCGCACGCCATGCAATGCTGATGCCACAACATGTGCATGCCTAAATTTAATCAAATGATCACACATGTGAAAGGCCATATTAGGCAAAAAAATAAAATAAAGACAAATTTAATAAAAAATTTCTCACATTTCTAACACCCATCCAAATGCCTTATCAATTTCTGGGTCATCTTTTATTCTTAAAAAAAATTCATCTATGTAGGTGAAATTTCCTCTAGCATTCAAACAAATGTTTACTAAGCAAAACTGATAATCCAGAAATCAATAAGAACGCTCAAACCAGAGCCAAAATATGAGCAGATACATTTGATGCAAATTATTTTATCACACACCAACTTTAGCCTACTACATTTAGTTTATACGAAAGCTATCATACCTGGAATGTTGGAGCTAAACCGAGGCCTAATTTGAAACTAATTGAACCCCTTCAATCTGTTTCAATTCTTTGGTAAGTGATTCCACATCAGGCATAAAGAGGATTTGAACACGAGCTGTAGCAAACAAATTGTTATTTGCAGCACAATACAGACAAACACCCAAATAAAATGATTACAAATTGTTCTTCATAAATTTCTGTGATTGGTTCTTTGCAAAATTTATCAAAGCCGTTAATCACCACGTAAATGCATAAATTAATGTAACTATATTTCAAAAAACAAAAAATCTTGATATATCATTCTTTTGCTGTCTTTTCCTAAGCCCATTTTTCAACCAGTTCTAGTGCATCATAGGACTTCGCATGAAGAGGAACTGCACACAAAATGATTACTATTGTCATCATTTCATGAAATAACAAACTTTATATTATAATTATAGCTGATTTAAGTTCGAATTCTAAATTACATACCTTAAACAATTTTCCTGTTTTCTCGAATTCCAACATGCTAAGAGTGACTTCACAACTCTGTGAAACAATAGGCTCAGGATCTCTAGCAACTTCCTCAAGCAGTGCTACACTTTGATCATCTATAGCATGGGCATAATGAGGAATTCAATTAGACTAACCTAAGAGATCAAAACAATAAAGAGGCAACATTCATAAGCCATAGTAGTCATCCAAAAACTGTGTGAGAGAAAGTGATTAGATCTCGTCGCTCAGCATCACTTATTGCCTACACCTATATGAGAACAATAAAAAAATGGCTTAAGAAAGCCTCATTAGCAATGCTTATATAAAAGGAATTTTATGTAGGATTATTAGCATCACATAGTCTTATCTGTAATCGAACCGAAAGCTCCAGAAGCTTCATGCCTTTGGATGCTAACTCACAGTTTTGAGTATATTGCTAAGTGCAACTTAAGCAGCTTTATTCTGCAATTGACCCAAAGCATAAGCAACCTGTATTATAGCAAGGTAACAAACATAAAAATCCATCTAGTTGTAAAAGAAACACATCAAGATTGCATAAGGGATAAGACAATTATTTAAAGAAACATCATTAAACCTCATGTTTCAACAAAGCACTTTAGCCCCCAAAGATTCAATAATGGCAGAAACAGCTTCCTCTCTACCATGGTTTCGGAAAACAAAAAAAGCTGAATACCTCTTGTACATGCCTCTTTCTTCATTCAACAGCACCTCCCTTAATATTAAACAACACCAGTAAATAGCAAAAAAAAAAAAAATAGCAAATAGAAGTTGCATCCATTACCATACTTAACTTTATCAACAGATGAATGTGCAACAGGGTTAACTGACAAAAAAAGTGACTTTTCTTTCAAGGATGATTTATCATCATTACCACGAGACTAACTCCTCAATTCACTAGAGAGCTAGTTCACATGTTTCCCGAACTTCCTGGGTAGGATCTAGAACCAAATTATTCTTCAAAAGAAAGATGTTACTTTCTAAACCAATTGCACCAAGAGCTTTGGCCGCCTACGGAACAATAACAAACTATTTATGTTTCTATTGCAGGTTATATATCAAGGTTGTGAGTATTGCTTGAAACGCATAAAGAGCATTTGAACACGAGTTAAGCTCACACTAACGCTCCCATAATCTTCTCTTTTCGCTCCGTCGCTTTGCTTTTCTTTCTGTCCAATCATAGTATGGTTCAGCTTCACCATCATCATCATCATATAAGCCATCGGTTTTTACTCATTACATATCCTCCGTCGGATCCTCCCCTCTCCAACTCTATCCATTCAATGATACATAAAAAAGATATGTGATATATCCCTCATCACTTACTATCAATAGGGGTGGAGGGAGGGGAACTAAATAAACATATCATAATTTTAAACAAAAGTTAGCCAAATTAAATCTCTAGCATGAGGACTCTATCGGGCAATATCATTGGCTAATCAAAATTATAGTTTTCTCAATGTAAATTCGGAGTGCATATTAACATATAAAAGTTAGAGCCCAATATTTAGATAACTGAAACCTAGGGAACAATGAAATGAAGCAGTAAAACAATCCAAGGAATATGCATAAATGATACAACACCATTATAATTAACAACCTACAACAGAAATTATTAAAAACTCAAATTACAAATATAAAGAAAATATATTTTTTTAAAGAGAGTTAATCAAATAGCTCACTTGAATTATTATCGATGTTGTAGTATTTAGATTAACGGTCAAAATACAAATGCCCTGCAGAGTTCTCTTCAATATCATCTCAAATTCCTTTTCCAATTTTCCTAAACACCAATGGTGATATTTGGAAAATTTCCAACGTACTAAACATCAAATGCAAGCACCCAAACTTTCAAAGCTTTATTCAAAAGAACAAAACAAAAAAGACCTCACCTTTACACTGTATGTTCTTATCAACATGTAAAAGTAGATCAAGGAACAAACTTTAATTTAGAGGTCAAGAGCTGAAAAACTAAACTGGATCTTAAACAAAAAAGAATAGAAAATGAGTTTTTTTATGTCTTTTTTTTTTTTTGACTTCATTAGCTTAAAATACAAATGACCAAAGCCCCATTTTTAAAACTGCAAAAGCTTTGAAAAACTCAGATGATAATGATTTAAAAAAAAAAAAAACACTATTTCTCTTTCCTTTGTTTCCCTCTCTATATTCCACCATGTAACTCACGGAAATAAAAAATCTCAAAATAAAGAAAATATAGAATAATATGAAAAATCATACCCATGAAACTATAGAAGATAGGAACTAGAATGGGAAATAAACTCTGTTTTTCTTTTTCCCTGATCTCCTATTCTGTCACTTTTCTTGTCTTTCAATTTCACAAAAGTCTAGATCCTTACTGAACTTTCATTATTGTTGACGCTCAAATTGTTTTTTTAATGACATTTATTACGTGATCAGTAAATTAAAGTTGAAAACTCTTTTTACATATATTTATAGATATAAATAGTTTTATTAATAGTTGATTTGAATGATAAAAAATTTAATATTTTTTAAATAAAATTTTAAATTTAAATTTAAATTTAAATTTTATGAATGAAAAAATAAATGTTAATAAAATTTATTTTTCTTATAAAATTTAATCCGATTTGATTTTGAAGTAATCAAAATTTATAAACACAGAAAATCCAAGATAAAAAAAATAGATATAAATTTTTAACTTAACCTTTTTAATTTAATGCTCTTTTATTGTTATTGAAATATTTTTGAGTTTGATGAGATTGAGATTTGATAAAAGTTGAACTTCTAAATTTATCGGATTTATTAAAAAGAATAAAAAGATCATGAGAATGGAAATTAAAATTTTCAAACGCGTTTCAAACACTCTAAGTTGATAGAGTATTTTAGAAGAGAAAAGAAAGCATGTTAATAATGAAGAAGGGAAGAAAGCAGTAGAACAAAAGTAGTATGCATGCTTAATGATATTATTACTTATATTTTATGGGTGGTGATGTGATTGTGTACAAGTGATATATCTACTTTAAAACTATATGTTGATGACGTAGCAATAAAAGTACAGTAATTTTTATAAAAAATTAATTTGATATCATAATATGTAAGTTGAATTTGTTCATGAATTATAAAATATCCAAATTTTAATTTTGTTATTATGATTCTTCTTATGCAGTTAGTACAATTTTAGACTGCAAAATGTATTGAAGGTAATTTTTTTTTTTTATTTTCTTAAACTCCTCATTAGTTTAAATATATAAGATGTCTGAATTATAAGCTATGCTAATAACCTAGAAAAACTAAATTTATTATCCTTTTTCTTCTTTTTTCGACAATTACTATTACCATATTTTTCAACCAATTTCATTGGTTTCCTTTCAAAAGTTCTTTCTTTTTCCTAAATAAATAATTCCACTAAATTTATTTGATTTTTTTACTAGCAATTGTTTATTTTACAAGATATAAATAATAAATTTATGAAAGGATGAAAGAGAATTATTCTTTTTTTTTTTTTTTGTTCTTCAATAACAGTCCGACAAACAACTATATTGGACAACACAATAAAAATTAGAGTGACATCATCTAGTTTATTTTAATGGCAGCTTGGATAGTGGTGTCTTTGTTCCTCCGATCTAACTTTTAACAATTTGTCAGAGGCTTCGATGAAGTTGCAACTTCCCTGGCAACCTCTTTGAAAGAAGAAATTTTGCACTTGTCAGCTGTTCTCTGGCCCATCATCCAAAAGAGTAAAAAAAAAGATTAAACTTAAACGGTATGATCGTGTAAGAAACATGGGAGGCTATCCGCCTGGCATCGAGCTTGGGCTTCGATGAGGAAGTGATAGTTCGATCTTGTTCCCTTTCTTGTGTAAAACCTTATGCTGCATAAGGACCCACCCAGAGAAGAAAACTACCCAGAAAGTATCGGTTGGAAAATTATTGGAGCTGCCGTTGGTGCATCCCGAAACAGTACCATTTTTTGCCCTTTTTCCCTTGCAGCAGATTGGAGAGCTTATATCCCATCCCGTCAAAAGTTCAAACACTCGCCGTCACCAGGGCTCGTGTCGATTTTGAGAGCGTATTCAGTGGCAGTGGCTTTTACCAGAAGTACATAATTTAGGCCTTTTTATATTGGGTGTTTTACCCCTATTTCGTACCACAAAGAAAAGGAAACAAGAAATATGAGGCCATATTTCATCAAGCCACAGCGACCCTGCTTGGGTTAAAAACTTTTAAATGTCCAGTTTCAGTTATGCAGCTATGTTAACTTACTGCCTGGCTACGCTAGAGCCAACCAGCTCGGCCAGCTGCAAGGATGTCAAATTGGCAATCAGAGGTTAAATTATCATGCAAATACAGCAAAGCAATAAATTAAATAACCACAGATCTGCAAAGGCACATGTTTAGGGACTATTGAACAGTCTTGCCAGATTTCAGCTGACTAATCATAAGATATCATGAGGTAAATATTAATCAATTTAAGTTACACATTTTGATCACAACTATAACTTCTAGCAAGAAAATACTAACCCAAAGAATTTGCCAATATTGAAGTATTATTTCTCAAAGCTGTTCTTGGATATATAATCCGGCACAAAACCCTTCCTTTGTATCTATCTCAAATTAAGATACAGCAGAATCTCCTTGTAAACAAAAATACAGTAGCCCAACTAGGCAAAAGTTTATGTAAACAACAATTTATTCGCAAACAGAGACGAGTTCTTTTCTCTTGTCAATGCAAAATTGATAAGCACGCTACTCCAGCACGCAAAGAATACAAGAGTCACCTATAAAACTTCAGTAGTCTGTAATACTTTATGCTGCAACAGACTGCCTTTCATCGAAATCATCAAGGTTAAGAGCCTCCAGCAACTTTGGCCACGATTCAGGGATACCTCCTGGCAAATCAAATTCCATCAACTTTCCTTGATTGCGGTAGTAGTCCTCCAAAGGCTGACTCTGTGAGAACAATTGAATACCAAAAGCATGATTACTAATGAAAGAAGAAAGAAAATTAGCAGTCAAGAGAATCTAAAATTGCAGATTTGCATTATATATGCACACCATTCGAGCATGCAGATTCCCACCATATCCCCAAAACAAAGGTTAATTTCAACTCCTTAACAAAGTAAACAAAGAGCTGATGATGATTTACCAGACAAAATTTGCAACTCTGCTGCTGTGAAGGCATACACAAAGAAAGCAAATTTCCAGGATTATAGGAGAACAAGTATCTAATTCTAAGTTCTAACTATACTATTTTGCAAGTACATTTCAAGAAATTTCTTTCATATTCGATTAACATTGACATGAAACAGGAGTAAGGAAGGAACCGATACCTTTTCATTATAAATACGGAGTCTCTCTTTCACCACTTCTTCTGTATCATCTGATCTAGTTCCAAGCTTTGACATACAACTTGGGGGAGGAAGAAGAGGAGCCATACTGATTCCAGGGCTCCCGTTCTGGCCCTTGACATTAATCGAAGCCACATTGAAATTTTTCCCACACTGACTGCAAATTCTTCTACCAAGACATTTCTCAATCAAGACACTTTCCGGAAGCCTCAGATTCACCACCAAATCGATGTCCGTTACTCCTTCCAATATTTCCTAAAGAACAAAAATTAAATCCAGCTAAGATTTGAGGTCACAAATTGAAATTGGGAAAAATAGTAGAATTTAAATTCTCACCGCTTGATTTATAGTTCGAGGAAAACCATCAAGAATAAATCCTGATTCACCTTTAGTTTCCCCAGCTTCAAGTCTTTTTGATAATAAACTTATTATAATTTCATCAGAGACCAATTTTCCTTGATTTACAATTTCCGTTAGCTGTAGCCAAACAATAAATTAAACCACTTCATATCAGAAAACACATATAACTAGTAATTAATTTTATTAATTGGCAATCGCATTAACATATAACTGAATAACGGATTTTAAACAGATCTAAAATTAATGAGGGGAAGAGATACGAACTTGTTTGGACAGAGTTCCAGAGGAAGCGAGTTCTTCACGAACGAGATCGCCGGTGGCGATGTGAGGGACGCCGAGGAGATTCGAGAGGCGGCTGGCATAGGTTCCTTTACCGACGCCTGGAGATCCGAGAAACACCCATTGCACGTTCCTCTCACTCGGATCTCGGCGCGTAATCTTGTAGTTTCCGAAGGGAGAGGTATCGTGTTGATTTGATACAGCGGCGGCAGCTGAAGAAGAATAAAAGCATCTCCTAATGTGAGGGATAGCGAAGGGTTTCGAGAAGCGAGTGATGGCAGCCATGGAAGGGACTAGAGAGAGTTGACTGAGCTTGTGAGCTGGTTTTAGTGTACTCTTTTTCGGCCTCGAAACCCTAATTTTCCATTTTCTAGTACGCTTCTTCCTTTTTGAATGTTGAGCGAATAAAATTTCTATCTTTAATAAACTGATTGCACTTTTGCTGATGTGGCATAGTGGTCGGTAATCATCTTTCATTATAAGGAAAAAATTTATAAATTTATAGAAAATTTTTTTGGATAAAATTTATGAAAATTTAAAAAATAATTTAATAAAAATTTTAAATTTATAAATTAATTAAAATTTACGTAAAAAGTAATAATATGTAAAAAAAATTATTCAAAAAAATTATTTATAATTTAAATTTATTTATTTTAGTTAATGATAAACATTTTATTAATATTTTTATTAAAAATATTTATTTAAAAATATATTTTATTTTTTAAAATTGTATACATTGAATTTATATAATAAAATATTTTAATTTATTAATTATTAATTTTATTTTTAATTATTATTTAATATTTTTTATAAAAAAACTTCACGAATTTTATCCTTAAAAAATTTATTTAAGTTTTTCCCTTGTTATAATGACTTATCTCTTGCCACGTGTTAATACGGCAATCATAAAACAACAAATGGTTACAATTCAATTGACAACTTTTCTCTCTCCCACTAATCAATGCTCGCAGTTCACAGTCATGATGATTTCTTTCTCGACAAGACTTTTGCTTAACACTTTCCAATCCAACAGTAAACAAAATCACTGTTTGACACATGTATTTCTTAACCAACAATCAAATTTCAGTCTCAAAACAACGGAATCCCCTCGTGGCCTCAGCCATCTCTTGCTTTACTGGAAAGTATTGATTTTTGTTTTAAAGTTGGAGATGTTGCTGTGTTTTTATAATTCTTCCTTTTTTTGTTGCATATTTGTGTTTCAATTTGAAGCTGATCAAATGGTTGAACTTGAAATTAGTTGGTTCTATTAATAGGATGTTTTGAAATGAGTGAATATACTACAGATTTAATGGATACAGTCAAAATGTTTGATTTGAATGGAAATGGAATTCTAATTTCTGATTTATGAAAAGATCGAAAAGCCATTGTAGCATTTGCTTGCCATTTTGGGTGATTATTTGTGTAGGAATTTGAAACTTGAATTAAGATTAATCCTTATGTTTCTCGTCTTTCATTGTTTTTAGATGTGCCCTTCACTGCAAACGAGCCTATTATCTTGTCCCCAAGAAGGTAAAATATTGCTTGTTTCTATATGAATATGAGAGTGATATTTTCATTTGCATACTATTATTAAAGCCAACAAAACTGACTCGAACTTGAAAACCCATCCGGTGTTGACTGATAGTATGCAATAAGAAGGGACTCAACCCAACCCTACCCTGATGGTGCGGTATCTGTATTAATACATCTCTGATGATGGCAGGACATAATGAATAAATCAAGTGTAGCACTTGGTTTAATTGGATTGGGAAACATTGAACAGACAAGTGCACAAATAGCATATGGATTGGTTAATGCATGAAAGCACTTATATTTGCAGCTTTTTCTAATATGGTGGCTTTGTGCATTCATTTCCCACCTTGGTGGGAGTTATCTTTAGCGCATTGCCTTACTTAATTCTAATTTGTGTTCTGGTTTTGCTACCGTGGCCGCAGATGCGACTGGTAATGAAATTGTTGAACAATCATTTACGAAGTTACTAGTTGATGAGCTGATTTTACAAGTTGTGAGGGGATAGACTATATGCGGTGTTCAAAGTTTATACAATGATCTATATGTTCTATTAACCTGCATTGATAATTGTGTTTTTGCTGCTCAAGTTTATGTTATTTGCAAAGATTTACGAAAATTAAAATTACAAGAGCTTTTATGAAATCACTTCATGGAGCGCTTAGTTCACCTAGTCTGGTTTCAGCAAGTATATAACATTAAAGGCTGATGCTATGAATGATGAAATATACAAGTTCATTGCTGAAACTGGTGGTATTGATGCACCTCTGAAGAGTGTTGATGTTAGTCATAGTGAACAAGACAGCAAAATTGAAACTAGGCTCTATTGTTCATTGTTATCCACGTTGGCAGGGAGTGACTCAAATAAAAGTGCTCTAGTTGAAAAGTGAGAAGAGGTTAAGATGAAGAAGTTCGCTTGCTTTAAGGATATGAGTGTCTATGATCATTCCGTTGCCACTAAGTTAGGAATTCATTTTTTCCGGTGGGGTGGTACGGTCCCGATTCTTGGTACAAGATACCATCATAACAAGTAGTTGAGGGACACTAAAAATTATTTGATCAAGTGCTGCTTTGTAATGACAGAGTTGGGACATGGAAGTAATATTCCTTATGAATCAGCTCAGTAATGTTGGATTGATGCGATTGAAGAATTTCAAAATTATATAGTGGTCATGGGTATCTTTCTAGTAATCGGCTCCTTGACTTATTTGCAGTTAATGCCTCTACCTATAGTTATGAAGAAGACAATGTTGTGTTGCTTTTACAGGTTGCAAGGCTTCTAATGAAGATCGTTTTTCAGCTAGGGTCTAGAAAGAAGCCTATCAGGACAATAGTTTACACGCAGTTCGCAGAACACCTCAAGCAGTTCAATCGTGGGATAAAGAGGCATAGGATTGGCTAAAGCCTAGTGTAATATTGGAGGCAATTGAAGTAAGAGCTGCTAGGATGTCTGTTACGAAAAACCTTAACAAATTTTCAAAACTAGAAAAGGGTGATGCTGAGCACTCATTTGATTTGATTGAGGGAGCAGTTGCTTATTGTCAGTTAGTCATTATTTCCAAGTTCATTGAAAAACTGCAACAAGACATACCAGGAAAAGCAGAGAAAAAACAATTAGAGACCTTTTACAATGTACATGATTTTTATCTTTCACACAAACATTTCGTGATTTCGTTGTTACTAACTGTATTAACGCCAAGCAAGGTGCACTAATAAATGAATAGTTGGCTAGCATATTGCAAGTGTCATAATTAGTGAGAAGTCATGAATTTTACATTAATTGTGTATTAGAGTTAGTCTTGGGATATAAGTATTTACACTACCTTCAACTTTTAAGGTGTCTTTTATGAAACAAAACCGTGATATCTAATAAATCGAAACGAACAATACTTCATAAGTTGATGTGATCATGATATTTAAGCTGATTTGGGATGCGAAAGAGTCCATCCCTGTGTCTTAAAGCAATGCGAGCTTAGAACTTGAATCTTGACTTATGACAAGTGTTATCAGAATCAAAACCAGCTCTAAATGTATTAGTAATGTGCCACCGAGGATAGTAAGTCTTTGTTGGAGTGAGGAAAGATGTTACAGTCCTGGTAAAAAGCCATGAAGTAGGAGAAGATATCACAGTTCTTGTGAGGAGTCATGAATCCCACATCAGTTGTGTATTAGAATTGGTCTTGAGATATAAGTCTTCATACCACCTTAATCTTGTAAGGTGTTTTTTATAAGACAAAAACGTGAGCTCTAATGAGTTGAAGCAGAAGAGTTAATTCTTGTATTTTGGAGCCACACGAGCCCGAACCGTGTCAGCTATAAAGCAGTTAGCTAAGATGAAGTTAGTTATTAACAGCTCTTGTTTAATGGTTTTGAACCTTGCTTTCAAGGCTTATTTCAAGAAAGACAGAGATGGTAATTGGAAATGGGTTGCTGGCAACCTAGCATCAGGAGTTACAGCTGTTACTTCCTCCTTTCTCTTTGTCTACTCTTTGGATTATGTTCAAAACCATCTTGCCAATGATACAACGGTTGCAAAGAAAGGAGGAGAAAGGCAATTAAACGATCTTGTTGATGCTGGCAGGAAGACCTTAAAATCTGATGGTAGTGCTGGGCTTTATTGTTGTTTCAATATTTCACGTGTTGGAATCATAGTTTACCATTGTCTATACTTTGGAATGTATGATTTTCTGAAATCAGTGGTTTTGATCGGGAAGTTGCAGAATAGATTTTTTACTAGCTCTGCCCTTGGGTGGCTCATCACTAATGGTGCTGGTCTGACATCCTACCAAATTGACACTGTTCAAAGAAGAATGATGATGACATCTGGTGAAGCAGTCAAATACAAGAGCTCAATTAATGCATTATGCTTGAAATGGGTTGCCCACGCCTTTAGGATCAACTACAGGGGTATGCATGAAAATACTCAAAGCTAAAAGCGAATGTTGTGCTCCAACTTCAATGCAATCATTGAGTCAACCATGAACAAGGAAGTTCATGTGATCTCCATTGATAAAGCTCAAGACCACATGAAAAACTTCTATTTTTATTCCATGAATCGGTCAAAAATGGCGATGGAATTCCTTCTATAATTGAGAGTGGTGTCATTAAGCTAGGTTATTAGCAAGCTGACAGCAGGTGTGCTCTTGTAGATGATGAAATAGATGTGCTCCATGGCAAGATGAGAATTGCTTTTCAGAAGACTCGATTTGGGAGTGCTTAGCTGAACTAGAAAGAAATTCCAAGCTTTCATATTGGCTGAAATGGAATGGACCGTAGGGACCATCCTAACCACTGAAACCAATTTTAGTAGTCATAAAGTAGTCAACATTCTTGCCAAGAGTCAACCAAAGTTTATTATTTTGTAGTGAGTAAACAGATGAGAAATTGCAGTTGTAATGGTATAAAATGATGAAAATGATAGAGATGCGACAAAAATGAATTTTACAACAAAATTCCTAAATTCTAGACTCTCTTCTTTCTTTACTCTCTCTATTTCCACTATCTTCTCTCTTCTTCTTTGTTCTTCCTTTTTCTTGCAGAAACTTCATTACTATATTTTTTATTCTTGTTGGTTAACCCAGTAGAACTTGATTACATTTGATAAGATCTGTATCATAAACCAAACCGACGCCATTTTAGATGACGTTTCTTGTATTCTCGGCTGCACTCGGTCATGTCTCAACGTAATCGCCGCGAAAAAAGGAGTCGTCGTTGGAAGACTTATATTTAGTGACAATGGAGATATGATTGATTGTACTAAAATGGGTATGGCCATCGATCGAGTTGGAGCTATGCAAAGCGATGCATTGTTTATTTTGTTGGTAGAAAAAGATGCAGCTTATATTAGATTAGCAGCAGACAGGTTTTATAATCGATTTCCTTGCATAATTGCCAAAAGGCAGCTGGATGTGGCAACGAGGTTGTTTTAGAGGAAAATGAAGACGAAGTTGAAGCTTCCGGTGTTGGCATTGGTGGATAGTAACTCGTATGAGTTAAAGATTTTGTCTGTTTATGGCTGTGGATCCAAGAACATGTCGTATGACAGCGCAAATTTGACTACCCTAGATATCAACTGGTTGGGGATCAGGCCTAGTAATTTGGAAAAATAAAAGATACCTGAGCAATGTAGATTGCCGATGTCAGAACAGGATATTAAGAGGGGGAAGAATTTGCTAGAGAAGGATTTTGTGAAGAAGAACCTTGGGTGGGTTGAGGAGTTGAATTTGATGGTGAAGACTAAGCAGAAGGCTGAGATTCAGGCATTGAGTTTGTTCGGGTTTCAATATTTGTCTGAGGTTTATTTGCCATTGAAGTTGCAGCAGCAAGACTGGCTGTGAGCAAGCGTGGTAAGAATGTGGAGTTTGTTGTTTAATTTTTGTGTATGAGAACTGGGAAATTATTATTTGTTTACTTCCTCAATGATAGCAATCTTTGCAATTGCATGTGTTGATATTTTACTTTCAATTATTAGTTACTGGTGTGATTTAGTACCGTTCACAATCTCTATGATGCAGAAATTTTGAAAAGATTAAAATTTGTGAGAAATCATATGAATTTGAAAGCCTTAATCACTCTGCTTTATAGGTTTAGGATTTTAGGCCTTGCAACTGCAGCAAGAATCACAGCCTGTTTAGTACAACTTCCTTTGTTTCTCTGTTATGAATCTCAAGAACACTAGAAAATGCTGAGTAGGAACGTATATTGGTTGTAACAGTTGAAGAGGAACAAAACATAAAACTAAACCGGTACAAGAGAAGTAGAGTAGTCTGTAGCTTGGAACAAATGAAATAACCTGTTTTATTTCATCACACAGTGAAATATGGTCTTACAACTTCTATATTATTTAAAAATACTTACCTAGTTATACTCACTTATTCTCTTTTATATCTATTTAAAAATTATTATATAAAAAATAATGCACAAAATTGAGGTTGGAACATAAACGTCTTACCTTCTAATAGCATCTGTCCTTCTCCAGAGCCAATGATTCGATGATTTCCTTGTAACTTTCAACATTTTCCTAATCACTGGTCTCCTGGTAGAAGATAAGGGCTTTGAGGATAAACTGTTCTTTCCAACTGTTTCTAAGAAAACTGGATCTGCATCAATAGGAGTTTTCAAATCTACCCTTCTATCTTTTTTAACTTCAGGTGAACCGATAGTACCTCAAACCCCAATTCATCCTGCAGAAGTTTCATTACTGCATCTTTCACCTCAGAGTTTACCTTGGCTGCATCATCATGCCTTCACTGACTCCTAAGATTATCAACTTATCTTCTTTTATGGAATGCCCTGGAACAGAATTAAGTGAAAACATCAAAATATGACTTCCAAACACCATATGGAATTGTGGATTTAACTTGATGTGAATCAACTTATATACCAATTGATCACGAGTTTAGATGTCAGATGCATGCATATCCGTAGTGTTATCCTGCCCGATAGCAATGTTACGTAAAATATTTGAACTCTTGGTTTAAGCAAGTTGGTGAAGATTTTTGTACCTTGGATATAGTTTCTCTTTGATCATTTGTAAAACAGCAAAGACAACTATTCGAGCTTCAACCTATCAATAGGCATTACACACACTCTTATGACAGATAAGGTCCCAGGAAAGCACTAAGATGATACTTTCTTCCAAAAGCAATCAGATAAAATAACAAGAGATAAATTAGCCGATGTGCTAATAACTCATGAAAAAAGTCATCTTCAAGATTCAAGATTCAAGCTTCCAGGCCTCTATATTGTATAAGACAACTATAGTTTCAATTAAGCAAGCAATTTATTTATATTGAAACCATCCACGTCAATGACACTTCAATTGGCATCAGACGTGATCAATCATACCATTGTAAGCGCGCAGGGGTGGGCAGAAATTGGCAACTTTTTTTTATCTTTAATTTTTTTTAATTATCTTTAAATGAAACTATTTAATTGTCCTTTTTCATTCTAATTTTAAAAGTTTTCGAATATAAATGTTTAGTGAATTTTATAACGGATTATATCCGATAAATTATAAAACTTACCAAATATGAAGTTAAAAAAAGTTATATTTTGGGTTTAAGGTTAACAAAGTCCATTTGATCAATATCATTCCTATCTAATAAAAAAATATTTATTTAATTTTATGAGATTCTAACAAAACCTAAAAATGCATTTGATGGAAAAAAATGTGATATCTTGAAAATTTTTCACAACATTATAAAAAAGTATGATTTGTTTCAAATATTATAAACTCATTTACAGATTGATAAACAAAAAGTATAGCTTTAATAAAAAGAGCACCCAATTAAACCATGTGGATCTTTCAATTTCTTTTTAATTTTAACAATCTGATATGAAAACTTTTAAAAACTTTTGGATATACGAATTCAAAGATTTTTAAAAGCCTTCAAATTTACAAATCTAAAAATTTTTAAAAATTTTTAAATTTACAAATTTTAATGCTTAAAAATAGAAAGGGCTAGTTTGAGATAAAAGATAATTAAGTCACTTAATTTAGAAATAATTTTGATAAAAAGAAAAGATGTGAAGAGTAAAAATGGGATGCTAATAGAAGATTTCATTCATAGCAATCTTTTTAATTTTTGAAAATTTTAATTTACTCTTAAACTTTTTTATTTTTTTATTATTTAGTTAAAGAGAATAGTATGCACATAAATTCATTTTAACTCGTAATTTTAAGTCTCAACTCCAATATCACGTTAATTGATCTAAAGGTCCGTCAATATTTTCAAAAAATAAACTATGAGATTTTTTAATTAGAGGAAACTTCAATAAGATTGTGAGTTCTCTCCCACTCATTTAGGACCCTTTCCTATTTTATAAGCCAATTGTTCGTGTTTTTCCTTGAATAAATTTCGTAAAATGAAAATAACAACAATACTAAAACAAAAGTAAAACTTTGGGTTTGGGATTTCCATTCTCCTTAATAAATACCAAATAATTGATGATAGGTTTTTACAAGGTAAATTGGGGAAAAGAAGATGGGCTTGTTGAAGCCCAATGGTGCAGTTTATATAAGTTTGTTGGCCAATCAATTTGCATTGTGTTTGCATCATTTTATGGCAATAATATTTATTTCCTGAACAAATAGATAAGTAATTCCCATGCATGACTACATTTAATTTCTTTCTTATAATTAAAAATTTATTATTTATCCAAAGGGGCCGTAATACTGCTACATCATAACTTTTATACTCGATTTAGCCGATACATAAAAAATATCATACATCAAACGTAGAGTTGTCTAATAACGCACAATCACCATTATTCACAGTTAGACTTTACAATTTTGGATATAGTTTTTTTCATTTTAAAAAATAGGAATACGCTAAAAAAATAGAATAAAAAAATATTTCCATTTCATTAAGAAAAAAGTAAAGCTGATACCCATTTTTAATTTCTATTCTAAAGCAAATACTATCAGGATTTATCAAAAAAAAAAAATCATACCTAAAAATTCAAATCTATCCAAAAAAAAAAAAGTACTATTGTAAAATAATGCTTATCATACACGTCAGAGATGAGATGGCACAAACTTATATAGAAACAGGAGAAAGCAGGTGAGTAACAACACCAAACCAATAACACCCCAGAAATCGGCCACGTCAACAAGCATCAGGGCTACAATCGACAATTCAACAACTCAGCCGCAGCTTCTGGATCCGTCCGTGTAAAGAAATCCAAACCACCATCGCCGGCCCACACTCTGCACCCTAAATCCACCCTTCAATTCAATTCCGAAACATTAAAAACCAAAAATCAACTACGAACTAAAAAACGGATCGATCAGATTTTTTTTATATAAATTGGATTCGATTGATTGAGAGGAAAAAGAAAAGGAGAGGTTTTGAGTTTTTTGATGGTGATAAGAGATGCCGCCCAAGCAAGCCTCAAAGGCAGAGTTAGCGAAGAAGCAGAAGATCGTAGAGGACAAGACCTTCGGTCTCAAAAACAAGAATAAGAGCAAAAATGTTCAAAAATACGTCCAAAATCTTAAGCAATCCGTACAACCCAAACCCGACGCGAGTAGAATCGCTCAAAAGGTTCATCCCCCGATTACTCCTTTTATTTATTAATTCATAGATGTGAAAGATTAAAACTCGTTTTTATATTTTTTTCTCTTTTTTTATTGTGTTGTTTGGGGAAAAGAAAAGAAATTAGAATCTGAATTTCTGGAGAAAAAACCTTGTATAAATTAGTTTACTTTGTATGAATAGTTAATAAATTTTTATTGTTAATTAAAATGGTTTACTCTCTTGATTGGAAATTTTGGTTCTTTAGGAAGTGAGAAATTCAATGAAGATAAAATCAAATTGCAAAAATATAGTATCTTTTTTTTTTCTCTAGTAATTGAACTTAAACATTGAAATATTATTTTTTAACCAATTCTTTTAACTCAGAAAAAGAAAGAGGAAGATAAGGCCAAAGAGAAGGAGCTCAATGACTTATTCAAGATTGCTGTTACTCAGCCGAAAGTGCCTGTTGGTGATTGTCCCATCTTTTCCACTTTGGATTCCTCATGATTATCGCTGACTTAAGTTTTTGGATGATGGTTTTTTTTATTTGTGTTTTTATGGGTTGGTTTAGTAGGAATTCAAAGTTTAGAACTAGTATATTATTGGTTCTTGAGCAGGTGTTGATCCCAAGTCAATAGTATGTGAATTCTATAAAGTGGGACAGTGCACTAAAGGTTTTAAATGCAAGTTCTCACATGACATGAATGTTCAGAGGAAAGGCGAGAAGATTGACATTTACAGTGATAAGCGCGACGAAGGTTAACCCCCATATGAAATTTTATGTTGTTTGATTGTTATCTGCTTAATTATGCAGTAGGATTGAAGGTTGGTCTGATTTTTATATGTTTGGTGGTTTCTTTCTTTAAGAAACAATGGAGGACTGGGATCAAGAAACTTTGGAGAAGGTCGTGGAGTCAAAGACGAAGGAGTATCAGCAGAATAAGCCTACTGATATTGTAAGCTTTTGCTGTTGGTCCTGTGTGTGTTTGATGATTATTTGAAAACTTACATTCTAAACTCTATGTTTGTTAAATGCAAATGTTTGCTCACTTATATGGGAAAGTCATGCCTTTGAATTCCAGTGGGAATTTCTTCTATCATAGATGATGGCCGATGGAAAGCTAGTGTGAGATGTCTTTTGCATCTGAATACATATTGTGAGATTCACCTAATGTTGAAATTATTAATTAGATATGCAGAAGCTAAGGAGAGGGAGAGGTAAAATCAGATGGCTATGGGGAAGAAGTTGGTGTAAATTGTAGGGTTTAACCGTGTGACTTGAGATAATCGTTTCTTTTCTTGTGCCTCTTTACCTAACTTTGAAATAGATTGCTTGGTACTGATTTGGAGGTATATGCAGGTTTGTAAATATTTTTTGGAAGCGGTGGAAAAGAAACAATATGGTTGGTTTTGGGTCTGCCCAAATGGTGGTAAAGATTGTCATTACAGGCATGCTCTTCCCCAAGGATATGTCCTAAAGTCTCAGATAAAGGCTCTGATAGAGGAAGAGAGTGAAAAAACACCAATTGAGGATGAGATTGAGAATCAGGTAATAATTAGATTTGCTGGAATCAACCTGCCATCCCTCCATCAGCATAGTTTGTTACTTTATTTTCATTAGTTATTTAAATTACCTAACTAGTACATGTCTTTGGCTGGTGCGTGCCAAATTAAAAACTTCAACTCCTATGACTCCCGAGTTATTTATAGAATGGAAGAAGAAGAAGATAGCAGAAAGAGATGAGAGTTTGGCTGCACAGAAGGCAGAAAGGGCTAAGAATGACCGCATGAGGTATGCCTTTCGTGCCAAATTAAAAACTTCAACTCCTATGACTCCCGAGTTATTTATAGAATGGAAGAAGAAGAAGATAGCAGAAAGAGATGAGAGTTTGGCTGCACAGAAGGCAGAAAGGGCTAAGAATGACCGCATGAGGTATGCCTTTCGAGGCCTGCATGCTTTCACCCACATTTATAAATACAGAGAGTGCATGCACATGTGTTTTCTTTCTTGAGAGTCATTTGCTAAATTTCATGTTCTTTGTGCTTTGTTGCAGTGGTCGTGAACTATTTATGTCAGACGCTAGTTTATTTGTGGATGATGCTGAGGCATATGAGAAATACCAAAGAGAGGAAGAATCTGATGCTCCAGAAAATAAGGTACTCTTTTGCTTGGCATCTTCTATATTTTCCTTGAAGCTTCTGTGATCTTCATGAATCACTCTGGTGAGTGAGAGGTGGAAATGCTCGTAATACATCTTTAGGATGCTTCTATATGCTGAACAGAAGTGGTAGATAGAGCATTGCCTTTTCGAGGTCTTTCATAGAAAAAAAAAGTACTAGTCATAGGCTCGTTATAAGAGTTTCCTAATTTTAAGCAACATAAATTGCTGTTGATTGCTTTCAGAAGGAAAATGTGACAACTGCCATTATGCTAGCTTCTAAGTTACAACTTACAAGTATTAACACCACCTCACATCTATGATTTTCCACAGAATCATGCCATCCGGCACATATTTTGTGACAATGAAACTTATATAAAGCTAAAACTAGAACTTGCCAGAGGAAATTGGAGTAAAGACTGAAGTAAAAAGTATTTTGAAATATACCCATCTTGAAACAGCTTAGAACTGTCCCTTCTCTGCTCTTGAGGATCTTTGTATTTCCATACCTTGCCCTAACTTGATCCTCAGAGGGAGTGGGGTTGAAAAAAAGCACCTGGGGGATTGTGGTGGGTCTAAATTGTCATATCTAACATGTATTTTTCCTGGTTTATTGTCATCTTTGTGGAGAATTTTTGGCCCTTCTTTGTAAGTGCCTGATATTATCGCCAAACCTTGGAAATATGATTGGTTCATAGAATAGAATTGGAATGCATGCAAAGCATATATGTTGTTGACACTAATATGCCTTAGGCATACTGATATGTGATGCACTACTTGATGCTGAATTTTTTTTGTTTTGCACAATCATCTTCAGGCCAATTATGATTCATCTGCTGCTGGACCAAGTACCTCAGCAGCAACTGCTGCTGATGCTGAAGCTCTTCCGGATGACGACGACGATGATGATGAATTGGACATTGATGAATTAAATGAACTAGAAGCAAGCTTAGCAAAAACATCAATTCAAATTCAGGAATATAATGCAGAAGCTTAATTTTGAGATGCAGAGTCTTTAGTCCACATGTGTTTTAAAGTGTTGACTTTATGATCCTGCTGCAAATTACTTGCCATCACGATTTCACCTGTCGCTTAAGACTACTGAGCTTGATGTTATCCTGGCAGAGTGTCATAACGGCTTTGAGACCTTTGAGACCGTAAGATGTAATCGTGTTTTAAAATCGAGAGAAATAAAAAGGAGTCGTCATCAATCTTTGTTAAGATGTGATTAGTTATCTAAAATTTTATCTTTTTAATAAAATTATAAAATTGAGTTTAAAGTTTATCAAAAAGATAAATTTTGATCTACAAAAAATTATGTTGGATTCGAGAGTTGATTATGTGTAGAGAAGGATTAGCACTTTCACAATGTTCATAAATTGATACCATTTAATTATGTGCTGTTCTCGGTGTTGGATAAAAATAGTTTTGACTTGAAATTTAATACTAATTCTCTTCGTTTTAAAAAATATTTTTGCTAAAGTTTTTATTTAAAAATATTAAAAAAAATTTTAAGTTAAAGAATTATTTTAAAATTTTTCAACATTTAGGTAGAATTTAAAATAATTCTTTTCGTTTAAGATTTAACACAACAATCCTTAAAATGAAATAATATTTTTTATAAAAAATTATTGTTGACTCTCCAACATTTAGGTAGAGAGAGTATCAAGAATTATTTCTTTTGTAATGTTATTTTTTTATTTTATAATATCAAAAAAAAATTTAAATGTATTATTCTTTTTTATTATAAAATATTTTATTACCAAGTAATAAATAAAAATTAAAGACAGGATAATACAAATAATTTTTAATAATAACATGTTAACGTATATATGTCAATAAATGTTATGTAGGATAAAATGCAATTTTAAAATTAGATTTTTAAGTATAATGACACCACCCTGACTCTTCAATATCTAAGCAGAGCTTAAGTGTGACTGTTTATATTTAAGATCTCAATTTATTGTTATACTTTTTATTTATTAATCTTATTATTAATGCGAATTAAGAAATCGCGTGAAAAGACCTAAAAAAGTAAAATTTTCTAAATACCCCATCATTTAGGTGATATTCGGGAACAAATTACATCAAATAAAATTTTCACACGTGTTTTTAAGATTTTTAGGATGTTTTCAGTAAGGGCTTGAGTAGAAGTTTTAAATATTAAGGTTTCAAGATTTTGAAGATTCGAATTTTAAGGTTTTAGATTTAAGTTTTGAGGGTTTTAGAATTTGGTTTTAAGGTATGTAAAGTTTAGGGTTTTGATTTTAGAGTTTGAAGATTTTAGGGTTTCGATATTAAAATTTAAGGTTTGAGATTTTGATTTAACGGTTTGGATTTTAAGGGTTTGGATTTAAGAGTTTAAAGGTTTGGGATTTCGAATTTTATGAGGTTTTGGATTTTAGAGATTTTGGATTTTAGGGTCATTTTTAAGAAAATACGAACATCTCTAAAAATCTCCAACATCTAAGCGGATTTTCGGAGCAAGTTTAGTTTTAATGATTTTTGAAAATTAATCTTATATATTTCTTTTTATGAAAATTTATTAATAATAACTCCTCAACATCTAGGCGAAATTATTTCTTTAAGAAAATGTTTTATTTTTTTTATTCCTTCCAACATCTAAGCAGGGAAAATAATAATTATTATTCTATTATTATTTTTATTTTTAAACATTTTTAATATATATTTTAATCATTATCTTACTTATTTTTATTATTATTAAAACAATTAAAAAACTTATCCTAACAAATTTAAAACTTATCATGTATAAATATAAAAAAATACTTAAAAAAACAAAAATAATGATATATAAAAAAAATTCAAAAATTCAAAAAAAAATTTTTTACCTGAACCAAACCGATCAACGATTTAGCCAACAGCAGTTCGATTGGACCAAAAAAGGTTCGGTTCGGCACGTAGTTTGGTTGAATCGATTGAGGAGCGGTTCAAGCTGGTCTAGGGAGCGGTTCAGTCCGATCTGATCAAACCAGTTCAGAACCGTTGAAAATCTGGATTAACGGGTCAGTTGCGCTGATCCGGGGTCGGGTTCGGGTCCACGCATAGATCCTACCTGGCTTAAACGGCGTCGTTTTGAGCTTTAGGCTCTTATATATAATGAAAAAAAATTATTTTCATTATTTTGCTATTTCAAAAAAAAAAGAGGGGGGGAGCTCCAGAGCTCTCACCGTCCGGTCATCGGATTGCCATGCCGACCGCCGTCTAAGCCGCCGGCATGGTAGTCATCGGTGATCATCGGTGACAGAAAAATTATTAAAATTCACCGTAATGCTCCTCTCGATCTCCTGAGTTCAAATCTGAGGTCATTTTCGAGAGAACAAGCCCCAATCGACGTAGATCGAGGTTTGAACTTTTTTGAGTTTTTTTTTTTTTTTTTTTTTTTGTAAAATGAAGACTGATCTGATTTTTTTTGTTCTTGCAGAGAGCTTCGACGCTGAGGTTTCTCCTTACGGGGAGGACTGTGTTGTTTATTTTTTTTATTTTTTTTACAGCGTCACTCCCTCCCTCTTCTCCTTTTACGGTTTGGCCAGGAGCTTTATTTATAGAGCTCCGGCCATGCGTGGTACAGGGCTCAGCATGGGGTGCAAGCACAAGTCCTATGCCCTTTTTATTGTTTTTTGTTTGGTCTGATAGTGAGGGTAGTAAATAGGGTATGGGTAGTAGGGTAAATGAGCAGTGGTGCCGGGGAATAGAGGAATGGGGTAAGATGATAGGGTATGGTGGCAGTGGTGCCAGGGAAGGCACCAATGCTATCCCCTCCTTTTTTTATTTTTTTTGTTATGTTCTGTTCTTCTATTTTTTTAATACTTAATTGATTTTTAATTTTAATTAAACCATTTTTATTATTATTAAAATCATTATTGTTATATATATATAATATATACCGAACAAAATCGATGTTTACAGTTGTCTCTCTTTGTACATTAGTGAAAATCAAGAATATGGCAAAGACAAAGACAACGATTTTGTCCGAAAGCAAATCATGGATTTCTCAAAAGTTTTTCTTTTGTTTTTTGTTGTTTTTTTTTTGATGAATTTTTTAACCGCAGTTCGAGTGATAAAGAAAATGACCAAGATGACATCGCAAGTTGAAAAATAAGAAATCAACTAAGGCAACATCACAAGTTGGATAATAAAAAAAATGATCGGGGCAACACTGCGGGTAAAAGAATAACAAGATCAAGATTGAACTTAAATTGAATTACAAGTCAAAATATAAAGAGATCGAGATTAAACCACGGGTCAAAACTGTGATTTTTGGATTAAAGAAATCAAGATTGAACCACGACTCAGAATAACGTCAACTTGGATTGAATCACAAGTCAGAAAATAAAGAGACCAGGATTAAACCATGAGTCAAAAAATAACAACAATCGAGATTAATCGGGATTAAATCATGAGTCAAAAAATAACAACAATTGATATTAAACTGCGATTTTAGATTAGAGAAATCGAGATTGAACCGCGAGTCAGAATAATGTCAACTTGGATTGAATCATAAGTTAGAAAATAAAGAGTCTGAGATTAAATCACGAGTCAAAAAATAACAACAATCGAGATTAACTTACGATTTTGGATTAAAGAAATTGAGATTGAATCATGAGTCAGAATAACATCAATCAAGATTAAACTATGATTTTTATATTTAAAGAGATCGGGATTGAAAACGAATCAGAATATAAAGAGATTGGGATTAGATCGTAAATTAGAAAATAAAGAGACTGAGATTAAACCGTAATTCAAAAACTATAAAAATGATCAGAATTAGATCACAAGTCAAAGATTAAAGATAACTGAGACTGAATCGCAAGTCAGAGAAATAAAAGTGACTAGGATTAAACTGTAAGTTGAGAAGGTATAAGAATGACCGAGATTAAACCATGAGTCAAAGATTAAATATAACCGAGACTAAATCACAAGTTAAAGAAATAAAAGCGATTAGGATTAAATCATAAGTCGATAAACTATAAGAATGATTGAGATTAAATCACGAGTTAAATATTAATAACGACCGGGATTGAACCGTAAGTCAAAAAAATAAAAGCGATTAAGATTAAATCGTAAGTCGAGAAGCTATAAGAATGGTCGAGATTAAACCATGAGTCAAAGATTAAAGATAACTGCGACTGAATCACAAGTTAAAGAAATAAAAGCGACTAGGATTAAATCGTAAGTCGATAAACTATAAGAATAATTGAGATTAAACCACGAGTCAAATATTAACAATGACCGGGACTGAACCATAAGTCAAATAAATAAAAGTGACTAAGATTAAATCGTAAGTCGAAAAACTATAAGAATGACCGAGATTAAACCACGAGTCAAAGATTAAAGATAACTGAGACTGAATCACAAGTCAAAGAAATAAAAGTGGCTAGGATTAAACCGTAAGTCGAAAAGCTATAAGAATGATCAGGATTAAACCACGAGTCAAAGATTAATGACGACCAGGACTGAGCCGTAAGTCAAAAAAATAAAAGCGATTAGGATTAAACCGTAAGTCGAAAAGCTATGAGAATGATCGAGATTAAACCATGAGTCAAAGATTAAAGATAACTGAGATCAAACCGCAGTCAAAGAAATAAAAGTGACTAGGATTAAACCGTAAGTCGAAAAAGCTATAAGAATGATCGAGATTAAATCACGAGTCAAAGATTAAAGATAACCGAGACTGAATCGTAAGTTAAAGAAATAAAAACGACTAGGATTAAATCGTAAGTCGAGAAGTTATAAGAATGATCGAGATTAAACTACGAGTCAAAGATTAACGACGACCAAGACTGAACCGTAAGTCAAAAAAATAAAAAATGACTAGGATTAAATCGTAAGTTGAAAAATTATAAAAATGATTGGGATTAAACCATGAGTCAAAGATTAACGATGATCAGGACTAAACCGTAAGTCAAAGAAATAAAAACAACTAGGATTAAACCATAAGTCGAGAAGCTATGAGAATGATCGAAATTAAACCATGAGTCAAAGATTAAAGATAACTGAGACTGAACCGTAAGTCAAAGAAATAAAAAGTGACTATAAATGAGCTATGATTTGAGAAATAGGGGATTGGGTACTCCATAAACCGACAGTTTGGTCTTAAGAATTATTTTGGAGGTAACATATTACCTTCAAGGCCATCATATTTGTTTTGAAAAAGAGGACTTCTTCCTGATGTTTCATAAAAAAACCTTTT